ATGTAATGACAAAGCATTATAATAAAATTTAAAATCCTAAAATATATCTTCTAAATTTCCAAATGAAATTTCTGAGATATCACATAAAATAAAACGTGATAAGTGAAGGAAATAAAGATAAAACAAATATATAATATTTTTAAAGACGATCTAATTCATATCTTGTGACATTAGAGTGATGTTCACATTCTTTAATTGTTTCCTTCCATCGGTTTTCCAAACATTTGATTATTGATCTGTTAGGATGAGGTCTAATATTCTCACTTAAACTTTTTAATCTTTCAATAAGCCTTTCTAATTCAACAATATGTTTCTCCCAGAATCCTTTAAGCTCATTTAAAAATGTAATTATCGAGTAAATACCATTTTCTAAACTTTTTGATTTATCAATCATTTGTACAGGTTCCCGTAATCTGGCAACTTCTTTTCCTTTACTTTCAGCAGCGCATGAGGTGGTTACCCCTACTCCTATTCCTGCTACTTCTACTGCTCCTGCTCCTACTGCTACTTTTGCTCCTACTACTGCTGCTACTCTTGTCCCTGCTATTACTGCCCGTGCTCCAGGTATGGCGATTGATAGACCAATTCCACATATCGTAAAAGCGGCTGTTGTCACTATATCTAAAATTTTTTTTTTAGATTCAGCATCTTTTAAGTTATTGTATATTGTAGGATCAACCTTTTCCCCGATTTTTTTTAATAATTCATCATGAATCTTTTTCATGTTATTTTTAAGAGTTATAATTTTGGAGTTGGTTTCTTCTATTGTAGTTTTATTAGTTTTAGCATCATTTAAAAGTTTATCCAATAAACCTCTTATATCTTCGTTAGTAACATCCTCATCATTATAAAATTCAACAAGGATCATTATATCTCCACCAAATTTAACCAATTCGTCAGCTCGATCAATTGTGTCATAAGCAATTGAATGGAATTCCCTTCTACATTTTTTAACCGACTTGATTTTGTTTTCAAAATATTCATTCTTAAAATCCAAAGCCACATCACAAGCATTTCTAAATAATTTGAATATTCTTTCAGTTGCATTAGAAAATTTTTTTATGTTAGGAGGATCTGGAAATTCGTGTATTGCCATTTTCAGTTTTTTAACTAAAAGAACTTTTTTTTATTATTATAAATACAGAAATATATATATATAAATTAATTGATGAAAATCTAGCTAATTTTGGAAAAATTTAAAAATATCTAGGGATGTGCCGTTATAGTAACCGTGATTTTTTTTCGCGCGCATAGTGAATATATATCATAGGGAGGGAAATATCATAAATGCACATATAATAATAAGAAAGTATAATTTTTTTTTAGAAATGTTTATTAATAAGCAAGTATATCTAAAACCTTATGCTGCAGCACATCTCTAAAAATATCCATTACTGAAAATGTTTGTCGATCGTCAAAAGGTGATGTGGTGTTAGTACAACGAAAACAAACGGTAAGCTTGTATTATCAAAACACTTTTTTTGCAACTTTTGCAACCCTGATTTTAAAAAAATAATTTTGTATTATATTTATAATCGTGAACAAATATTTAGGAAAGTAAAGGATTTGATAAATACTGTAATCATTTAACTGGACTCGATAGATGGAACAACATCATTGATAATGAATAATGAATAATGAAGGGAGCAAACAAAAATTCAGAATTCTAACACATTCAGGGACATTGACACGGTTTTGGGAGCAACGATTATCAAAAAAGTTTAACGAATCATTAGATGAAAGGATCCATTTTGAAAAATGTCATCAGATGCCAAACGATTGTGTTTTAAAAAAAATTCCTTTTCTCCGTTTAGCTTATTTAATTCAATTACAACAGTATAATATTTATGATATCATAATAAATTTCTTAGTATTGTTGTGGTTTCGTTATCGATGTTTCTAATGCCGATAGTTGAGTTCTTAAAGATTCATATGTAAAACCTTCAGACATCATTCCAATGCCTTGCACAATTAATGTTTCTTCATCAAAAACTTCGCCATTAACACCCAATACATTGTTTGTTCTAGTCTCGTGATAATGGTCATGCTTATTACGCCCTATAAAAAATAAAATACGGAAAAGATACGGAATAAACCGTATGGAAAATATGGAATTCGTATTAGTATCAATTTCCCGTATTAGTATTAGTGATGTTAGCCGGCTTGAGCCAATCAAATTCTATTCTCAAAAATAATAAAAAATATTCATTCATTCGTAATGCCGCCAAAAA